GAAGGAGCACGCAGCCATAGCCGAGCTGCGCTGCTGTGAGCTGGGTGAGGCGCAGGGTGGTCCTTGGGTGCTAGTGGCATCTGTGCGTTGGGGAACGAGGTTGTGAGTGTGGCGAGAGACATACCTGGTGCTGAAAGCGTGCGACATTGGTCGCCATATGCTCGTACTTCGGGAAAGCTGTTGACGTCATCTTTCGGCATGGTAGAATAGGCTAGATAGGATCTGCCACATGTAGTCTGGGCGCCGAGCGCCAGATAGGATATCAACTCTGGTTCTTCGTTGATGATGATGGGACCATTTCAGCATTGTCAATTATGAACTCTTGGTGTGTTCTTATTTGGTGAATCTCGTGATGCAATTCTGCTGTTGGTTCGAGGTCACGACTATCTGGACTCATATGTATGATGCTGTTTGATTGTTGAAGTTCACTATTGCTCATCTTCCTTGCAATTTGGTATCGGAGCTGTGGTACGATTGCGCTCATCTGGCGCTCGTCTTCTGCCCTATGCGGTACATACATGCGGTCTGCTTGGCGAGTTTGGTCGTAAGTGGTGTGTAGTGAGGAGGGTGGAGACAAGTGTATAGGCGACCCATACATGCGGTCTGCTTGGTGAGTTTGGCCGTAAGTGGTGTGTAGTGAGGAGGGTGGAGACGAGTGTATAGGCGACCCAGGAGGTGAGGGGATCGCCAGGAAGGCTACGTGGGGGTAATGTGGTCTGGACAGTGTGATGAGAACTATCTAATGTGCGATTGATGCTGAGGTGGAACGGCGAGATAATGCTGGTTGTGCCGATGCAGTGACTGGTCATCGCAATCGCCATAAGGTCATCTGGTGAGATTATCTCTGTGGTTGGGGGAAGCTGTTTGAGGTACGTTGCTCTTAACCTTATCTACCCTCTCCGACACTTCTTACCGTGAGGTTGTGTGTTCCTTCTTGAGAGTCCTCTCATTGTGAGGTGTCGAGTGCGCTCAACCTTGAGAGTCGGCAATGTTCACGTGGAGCATCTGGGAGAAGATGGGCGGAGCTTTCTGAAGGGCCCTGGACGAAGCACTGGGTCACGGTCACCATGCCAACCCACTGGGAGTAGAGCACGCATGCTTTGCTGCTTGTCCTTTGTTCTGCTTGCTGCTCTGTTAGATGGGTACTGCAGGGCAGGCCAACCCTTAAGGGAGACGAGACCGGGCGTCTTTAAATAAGCATCGGAAGGGGAACCATTGGCTGTGATCGTTGTCCAGCTGGGACGTAAGAGAATTCCTGGAGTCACTTGGGGGCGGACGTTAAATTGCCTCTCGATCAGCCAATGGTTGTAAGGCTCGCTGCACGCGAGGATAATCTAGTGCAGAGCTGGCCAGCTCAGCAGATACTCGGGGCACAGGGGTGGGCCCGACACACACCTTTAGACACGCGACGCTCTCCAGATTGCTCAGGGACGCTGACGTTAAGTGATACTCAGGGGAATCTTAGGGAGGGGTAAATTCCAGGTGATAAGTTCGAGAAAATTCCATGCTGTCCTATCCACACAAATGATTCTATTTTTATGTTTTGATTAGTTAGGTGTACAGCCATTGACATCTGACAGACAGCATTAGTTAGAACAGTTTCTTGTTCATGGTGCTTCTGTTTGCGGACTAGTCAAACTAAAAATAGTTTTATTTGTAGGAGTCTGACTTACCTGTTGACCCGAATGTAAAGTCTCCGAAATAGCCACCAGTTAATTGGTCTGTGCACTACGCTGCGGTAGGCACGTAGAGTGCAGTAGTGCAGATTGTGTACAGGGCTGTAGCTTATGAGCAACGAGGAGGACACTGGGGAGGACGACCGGAGGATATTGCGATCGGCTAGACGCCCAATTGCCCACCTGGCTTTAGGTCCGGAGGGCGACAAATTTCTGTTCCGCCAGCTTAGGGAGAGGCAGCAGCAGCAGAGGAGGGCTAGAGCAGTAGAGGCTAGCAGGGCACTTGTGAGTGAGGCCGCAGCTTCGGAAGCCATGGCCACCTCAACACAGCAATCTACTCTGGCCGGTAGTTCAGGGTCTGTTGGGTCAACGGTTGTGCAGACCCAGAGTCAGTCCGCTGGCGTAATGGCAAACCAGCCACTAGTGTTGACGCCCGATGAGGTCGCCATACAACAAGCAGCATTGCAGGAGGCAGAACTACAGAAGGCGTTAGGAGATATAAAAGCGGAGAAAGAAAGGATGATCAGAAGAAGAGCCAGGATGCAACGTAGACAAGCGGACATTAATGAGTTCGAGGAGATGGACCTGACGCACGTGACGGATGATGTGAGGATCATCCGGTCTGTCCTGCTGAATGTAGTGGAGATGCAGGACCAGCAAACAACCATCCTTCAGGACATCCAGCAGAGTCTGGCCCTGTTGGTTGGGCGAGCGCCAGCAACTTGGTGCCTGGCCCGTTGTACATCCTCCTCCTTATGTCCCACCGGTGACTGGGGTATCCCCATATGTAGCTCCATCATCGGTAGCGATCGTTTCCCTGGGCATGCCGCTTACAGGAGGGGTATCAGCAGAAACTAGTTTGCAGGTTCCTGTACAGACAGTGTACACCCAATCTCCGTTGCAGGTTGAGGTCACCACGCAGCCTGTTGTCTCGCAGCCTGTGCAGCCGCAGGGCACACAGCCCCAGCAGCTAGCACAGCAACCTGTGTCACAGGGTCCACAGCCCGCCGTGAAACAGAGTGGGTTCCAAAGACGGCCATCGCCGCTCCGAAACCCTTCACAGGGGAGAAGAGAGGCGAAGACCTCGACACATGGTTGAGGTCAATGCCAGTCTATGTCAGGTGTAAACTTACCTTGCCGCACGAAGAAGTGCTTGTGGCTGCTTCCTACCTAGAGGGTAGTACAGCAAGATGGTTGAGTGGTTTAGTGCAGCTCCAGGGGTATGGTCATGACTTCCGCGCTTGGGCGGTCACCCAGAAATTGGAGGACTTCCTGAAGATGGTGGAGGAAAGGTGGCACGATCCTCAGGAGGCCCAAAGGGCCACTGATGCGATCCTGACATTGCACACGCGGCAGTTTAAGTCAGTAAGGGAAGTCACCGATGTTGTTGAGCGTTTGATCTGTGTCCCAGGGGTGCACTATGACCCCCAGGTTTTACTTACCTCGTACCCGAGATGCTTCTCTTTGCCTCTTAGGAACCAGTTGGCAAGTCAGACCAACATCAATATGCACAACTTTCCTTCGTTTAGCAAGATGGCCCTAGACCTTGAGGCGAAGATAGGGCATGGACAGGCACCCACTACGGATGGAAGGAAAAAGACACTTCCTCCTAACTGGAAGGCGAAGGGGCGCATTATGTTTGTCGATAACGATGGTTCAACCATCGAATTAAACGAACACTTCCAGGAAGGAGTAGGTTCAGACGTTGGCAGCGAAGAAGCTTCAGAGGGTGGAGTAGTCGCTGCCGTAACTCAGAAAGGTAAGGCGACCGGTAGACGCCGTGGAGGTTCTCGGTCTAGGAGTCAAGTTGACCCCAATGCTCCTCCATGGGAGAAAGCGGGTCTCACAAAGGATGTGTGGAGAGATCGTTATTCACGACAGACCTGTATTCGTTGTGGCCAATATGGCCATAACCAGTTCAAGTGCCACAACAAGAAGGTGACTGATAAGATCCCACCTACGATGGGGCAAGTGTTGGGATCCTCCCATCCCGTTGGTAGCAACGTGGCTAGTTCTTCTGGTAGTGCTCCGGGAAACACGTCGGGCCAGTAGGAATAGTAGTTGTTCCTGCTAGGGTAGAGGTGGTGGAGACACCCTCACCATCTCGAGAGATGGCCCAAGCTACTGACTTCAGTGTCGTCCCGCAAACACATTCAGACTCATTGAGCCTCTGTTCGATGAATGTGTTTGAGTCCTTAGAGGAGCTAGAGGTGGAGTGGTCTAGATCAGACCCGCTAGCTTCTTGGACGGCCCTAGTCAAAGCCCCTAAGGGTGAGATGTTCGTCAACGAGGTTGTCATTGGCGGTCGCAAGGCCGGGGCCTATTATGACACTTGCTCGACTAGGAACTTTATCAGTCGCGCGTGTGTTGAGAGACTGCGCTTACAGGGGCAAGTGCAGCGCCTGAGTCGACCTGTGGAGTCGACCTGTGCCAACAAACAGCGCATGGTAGTCAAGGACTACCTCCAGGAGGTAGAGTGTTGTTTCCCGTACGCGGGAGGGGAATTGAGACATCACGTCTCGTTCCTAGTGAGTGACGAGCTCCCAATGGATATGCTACTAGATATGTACTACCTCTTTGTGGCTTAGCCCGAGTTTGACTGGGACCGAAAATTGGTCAAACACACTTTGCCAGGTGGAGGGACCGCTAGATTGCACAAGTTCAAAGCTAGTAGTCTGATCGAGTCCTGTGGATGCATGTGTGCGGCCGCGTTCTATGATATTATAAGCAAATCAGGAGGAGGGTATGTGCCTAGTTTATGTCTCTGCTGCAGGCGAGCCGGTGAAAATGCTGTCGGAGATAGAGGGAGTAGTTGCTAAGTACCCTGATCTATTTGAAGAGCCGACAGGGGTTGTTGAGAGGGAGGTCGTCCACGCGATAGAGATTATCCCAAAGGTCTAGTATTCTGAAGGGTAGGATTTATCGGATGTCTCCAGGCGAGCTTGATGAGCTTTGCCTCCAACTCAAGGAACTCATAGAGAAGGGTTGGATCCGGCCGAGTGTCTCTCCTTATGGATCACCAATACTATTGGTACCTAAGAAGAAGGAGGGTACACTTAGGATGTGCATTGACTATAGGGGCCTCGATGCCATCACTATAAAGAACAGAGAGCCCCTACCGCGCAGGGACGATCTGCTAGATAGTGTGCAAGGGTGTGTCGGTACTTCACCAAGATAGATCTGAAGTCCGGGTACCATCAGATTGCAATCCAGCCCGAGGATCAACACAAAACCGCTTTTCAAACCAGGTACGGTCTATACGAGTTGTGGTGATGCCTTTCGGCCTTTGCAATGCTCCTGGCACCTTTCAGCACGCTATGAATCGGATATTCCATGACTACTGGGATAAGTTTGTCATCGTGTACCTCGATGACATACTTATTTTTAGTAAGACTGTCGAGGAGCACGTTGCGCATCTGGACAAAGTCCTAAGTCTCCTGCGACAGCACAAGTTCAAGATCAACGGTGAGAAGTGCGAGTTTGGCCGCACACGTGTTTTGTACTTGGGTCATGAGATCTCCGCGGAAGGGTTGAAGCCCGATGACGCGAAGGTGGCCAGCATTCGTGATTGGCCACATCCTCAGTCTTTGACTGAGATGAGATCTTTCTTAGGAATGGCAGGCTACTATAGGACTTTCGTTAAGAACTATAGCATAGTGGCCACTCCTTTGACTGATCTAACCCGCCTTGACACCCCATGGGAATAGACAGACGAGTGTGAGGTTGCTTTCAGACATCTGAAGCATGCGTTGACGCACTACGAGGTCTTAAAGCTTCCCGATCCTGACAAACCGTTTATAGTCACCACGGATGCCAGCCAATATGGCATTGGCGTCGTGCTTGCACAGCAGGAGGGGCCAAAGGTGAGGCTTGTAGAGTACATGTCCAAGAAAATGTCGTCTCAGAAGTTGGCTAAGTCCACTTATGAGAAAGAACTCTATGCGGTTTACAAGGCTCTGACCCATTTGAGGCACTATCTCCTTGGGAGGTTCTTCATCCTCAGGACTGATCATCAGACCCTGAGATGGATGAGAACTCAGCCGGTACTCTCTGATGCTCTCAAGCGTTGGATCGAAGTCATTGAGCAGTATGACTTTGACCCTCAGTATCTGAAAGGGGAGTACAACAAGGTTGCTGATGCCTTGTCGCGGAGACCTGATTTCTCAGGTGCGCTGATTACTGAGTTCGATCTGACAGACAATGTTACTCAGTCCTTGGTGGAAGCCTGTCGCGAGGACCAGTTCATGTCTGAGATCATACGCAGACTGCAGGCGAAGGAAAAGAAGACCTCTGCCGAGTTTGAATTGGTCAATGGCTTGCTGTTCCTTGAAAAGGTTGGGAATAAACGATTGTGTGTCCCTAATAGCTAGTCTTTGCGTAGTTTATTTTTAGGTGAGTGTCATGATGCCACCGGCCATTTTGGGTACAAGCATACCACAGCTAATCTGCTGCAGCGGTTCTGGTGACCCATGATGATGTGAGATGCCCAGCAGTACGTGGAAACTTGTCAAGTCTTTCAGAGGGACAAGCCACGTACGTAGGCTCCTCTTGGGATACTGAAGCCCCTTCCGATTCCGGAACGGCCTGGTGAGGGTCTGTGCATGGACTTCATGGATACTCTGATCACCAGCAAGAGTGGGATGCGACACATCTTCGTCATCGTGGATAGATTTAGTAAGTATGCTAGGGTAGTAGCAATGCCGGAAACAGCAAGGACAAAGTATTGATTAGAATTTTCAAGGAGAATTGGGTTAGGGACTTTGGGTTACCGAAGTCTATTATTAGTGACAGGGATGTCCGATTTACCAGCGAATTGTGGAAGGCCGCTGCTGCAGAGCAGGGGACTCAGTTGCAAATGACTTTTGGGAATCACCCAGAGGCCAACGGCCAGGCCGAGCAACTGAACCGCGTTCTACAACACCTGTTGAGGCATTACATCAAGCCCAACCAGGTGGACTGGGATGAGAAGCTTGCACTCATCGCCAGTCTGTATAACAATGCGGTACACAGTGCCACCTGGGTGAGCCCGAACAGTTTGCTACTGACTTTCAAGCCTAGACTACCCTTAGATTTTCTCCTTCCCGAGAATCAGTCGACTGTTGCACCAGGTACGTTAGAGTTTGCTTACCGCTATGAACAGAAGATGCAGCAGGCTGTAGAACAGATGCAAAAGGCACAGGCGGCTATGATAGAATCTGCGAACAAACATCGCCGTGAGTCTTCATTCCAGGATGGGGACAGAGTCTGGGTTAAGTCCTCGGAACTGGGACAGGAGCACGAGAGCTCCCGCAAGCTCATGCCACAGTACTTTGGACCTTGGGAAGTTTTAGACATCGTTGGGACAGATCCGGATGGCCCATCTTATGTTATCCGGATCCCTGGTCATCTTCGAACTTACCCTGTCTTTCACGCCTCCAAGCTTGCACCTTTCAAGGAAACAGATGAGTTTCCTTCTCGTCGCTCGATGCTGCCCCCAACCATGGATGGAGAAGTGGACATCGATGACATCGTGGATCACAGGGAGCTGCCAGCTCAGGGACCTGCCGGAAGGGGACGTCCTCCGAAACCGAAGCTGCAGTACCGCGTTTGGTTCAGACATCATACTGATCCCAAGGAGGACCGTTGGTTCACGAGGGAAGAACTCATGCAGACCGCTCCTCAAGTTTTAGCCCATTATGAGAAATCTCTGCAGAAGGGAAAGCGCCCCATGATTGAAGACTGAGCTTCTCAGCGGACTGTTGAAGTTGAGGAGGGAATGCGAGGCCACTGCCTCTATGAGCCCCATAAGGCCCCATTTTGCAGCCCGTCGGCCGCCCTAAGTGAAGGCAGGCTCGACAAGGCCCTCAGGGCCCTATTCTGGCCACCACGCAACTTGAGGAAATTCAGGCAATTGCACAGCGCTAGTTGGTTGAGTGAACCCAGGCCCTGGGATGGATACAGGTACTGGGCCAAACACAGGCCAAAGGCAGTTGGGCACATGCAGCCACCTCAGGCCCAAGGCCTGTTCTCGTAGTGCTGGGCCTCAGGCTACCGGGGCCTACTGGAAGCTTCCTGGGACTGGACGCAGGCAGGCCACTT